ACAAGAGTGTGACAAACAACAAAAGAAGTAGAGGAATGACAATAGTCAGGATTAGGAAAGAAAAAGCAGCAGTTCCCTGTTGTAGATCAGGCAAGTTAAGAGCGTGACATGAATCAGCCCATTTACAATCTACTGTGCTTGAACGAGAAATGTCCCCCATTTGGGAATGGCCTAAAGACACTACAGTCAGTGACACTGCCCCGAGGGGGGGGGGGGGGAGGTGTAATATAAGAGAGTGAAAAAAAAACACACACAAAAAAGGAGGAGAGATAAGGACGATAGATGTTTGATAGGAAAGAAGGAGGAGAGATAAGGACGACAGATGTTTGATAGGAAAGAAGGAGGAGAGATAAGGACGACAGATGTTTGATAGGAAAGAAGGAGGAGAGATAAGGACGATAGATATTTGAAAGAAAAGAAGGAGGAGAGATAAGGATGATAGATGTTTGATAGGAAAGAAGGAGGAGAGATAAGGACGACAGATGTTTGATAGGAAAGAAGGAGAGATAAGGACGACAGATGTTTGATAGGAAAGAAGGAGGAGAGATAAGGACGATAGATGTTTGATAGAAAAGAAGGAGGAGAGATGGACGACAGATGTTTGACAGGAAAGAAGGAACAAACACAGCCCCCAGCTCCCCCCCCCCCCCCTCCACCCTGACCAAGGACTGAATTCTTCACAAACGGGATGTTGGATGTTTGACTAGGCTAAAATAAACTGGTAACAAAAGCATGGGTCTGGCAAGAGCTTACTATGGGTCTGACAAGAGCTTACTATGGGTCTGGCAAGAGCTTACTATGGGGCTGGCAAGAGCTTACTATGGGGCTGGCAAGAGCTTACTATGGGGCTGGCAAGAGCTTACTATGGGACTTTGATCCCCAGCCTAAACTGAAACAAATCTGCTAAAAAGTAAAGCTGGAGGTTCAAATAATACACAACTTCTTTGGGACAAAACACTAAAGATTTAGAATCTATCTTTTCCCAAGAAGATTAGTGACCTTGTTTCTGTTCTTTGTTTGAGCTTACATATGATAATTCCTTAAAAACTACATTTGTCCGAATCTAAACGTATTTCAGTGCTTTATTACTGAACAAATCCCAGCACAGTGGTCATTTAGGAGCACAGTCCAATTCTGAAATGCTACAAGACATGGCCATGTGAGAACTACGCTGAGCAATGTGCACGAGTCCGCTACAGTGTGCTCGTGTCTGTCCCTGGTTCAGTGAGTAGTGACGTCACACTCACAGCTAACAGTGACGTCACACTCACAGCTAACAGTGACGTCACACTCACAGCTAACAGTGACGTCACACTCACACCTAACAGTGACGTTACACTCACAGCTAACAGTGACGTCACACTCACAGCTAACAGTGACGTCACACTCACAGCTAACAGTGACGTCACACTCACAGCTAACAGTGACGTCACACTCACAGCTTACAGTAACGTCACACTCACAGCTTACAGTAACGTCACACATACATACAAAGACAAACAAACAACTTTGTGACAATTTTATTCAGCTGATGTATCAGTTTTACATTTACAGACATCACAATCAAAAGAGAAACAAGATATCATATTTTCCGCCTCTGCCGACAGATTTCTCGTCCTTTAGGAGGCGGGCAGCTTCCACGCACGGCGGTCAAGACTAACCTAGTCTACACACGGCCGTCAAGGCTAACCTAGTCTACACACGGCCGTCAAGGCTAACCTAGTCTACACACGTCAAGGATAACCTAGTCTACACACGTCAAGGCTAACCTAGTCTACACACGGCCGTCAAGGCTAACCTAGTCTACACACGTCAAGGCTAACCTAGTCTACACACGGCCGCCAAGGCTAACCTAGTCTACACACGGCTGTCAAGGCTAACCTAGTCTACACACGTCAAGGCTAACCTAGTCTACACACGGCCGTCAATGATAACCTAGTCTACACACGGCCGTCAAGGCTAACCTAGTCTACACACGTCAAGGCTAACCTAGTCTACACACGGCCGTCAAGGCTAACCTCTTAGTGGGCGACCACCATACATCTATGTGGGCGACCACCATACATCTATGTGGGCGACCACCATACATCTATGTGGGCGACCACCATACATCTATGTGGGCGACCACCATACATCTATGTGGGCGACCACCATACATCTATGGCGAGCACAGACCAGCACAAAGCTGGAGAAGTAACCCCACCCCCAGGAGAATATACTCAAGGCCCCTGTCGGCAACGTGAACAGCCTAACCATTCAGTTTCAGTTCGGCCAAACTTTTACGGCGCTCGCAGCTGCATAAGGTCATATGAGCCCGTGGGACACAAGGTGATTGTTTTCATGTTGGTTCAAGCACGTCTCGATTTTCTTTGCATGTCAGAATGATACAATTCCACCGTAGATAGGCGCAGGCAAATTGAAGGGAGAAAAGCTTCAGCAACATCGCTGAACCCAAAACTTTCGAGAAATAAGAACACAAATAAGGACACAAAAATACCAGCATGGAACAAACTTTTAGTGTGTGTAAATTGTCCCAAAGTTTCACGTCGGCCAACACTCAGCGCACGCCACCAACCCGATCCCCCGCGCTCAGTCAGCCCCAGCCAGCCACACGTCCCCTCAGAGTTATGGAGAAACAGCTGGCACAATAGGACGGGACATCTACTTGATGTGACCGTGAACCTTACACTGAGACCCTGTGCTGCCAGTCTGTCACACATTAACTCTCCCACGTTACAATGAGACCCTGTGCTGCCAGGCTGCCACACATTAACTCTCCCACGTTACAGTGAGACCCTGTGCTGCCAGTCTGTCACACATTAACTCTCCCACGTTACAGTGAGACCATGTGCTGCCAGTCTGTCACACATTAACTCTCCCACGTTACAGTGAGACCCTGTGCTGCCAGACTCTGTCACACATTAACTCCTCCACCTTACACTGAGACCCTGTGCTGCCAGACTCTGTCACACATTAACTCCTCCATGACACAGGCTCAGTGTGTGCTGCCAGACTGTCACACATTAACTCCCCCATGTTACAGTGAGACCTTGTGCTGCCAGACTGTCACACATTAACTCCTCCATGACACAGGCTCAGTGTGTGCTGCCAGACTGTGTCACACATGAACTCCTCCATGACACAGGCTCAGTGTGTGCCTCACCAGGCACAGTTTTCGGTCCCCAAGGACACAGTAGTACAAATGTACTAGATTGAGTGGTCAGTTTCCTGTAATTAGTCCCGGTTCGCAAATACTACTAACTATATCTATCTGAAAGGAAAAGATTTCTTTGTACCGAAAAAAATAATCCAGAACGTAAACTGCGATTAATTTTAGGAAATTCATGCACCTAACAGAAGCAGTATGCCAAATACAGCCAAATACAAGCTATGACGAACGGCGTCCGACATCACAGTCCTTACACCTCGCGTGGCACGACATGCCCTGGACGTGACGAACGGCGTACGTCATAGGTGCCGAAGGGGTTCAAGAACAAAGAGATGTATGAGTCTTACGCTGAACAGTGGTAATGTGTTTGTTTTTCAAGGTTGCGAGACAAATAGGTCGCATTGTGCCACACTGGCATCTTTAGCCCCATCTATGTCGGAACAAATCTGGCTAGCGCTGACTGTATCCAGAGAATCCCAATGGTGTTGTGCGCTAGGTAGAGAAAGAGAAAGTCACAAGCTCAAAATACAATCTTGAGGGACACAATCGTCACTTGGAGCACGGCCCACAAGGCCACACTCTTCTCCAGCACGGCTAAACAAAGAGAACATGGACAAGTATATTAGATAGAAACAAGTGTACTAGATAGAGACAAGTATACTAGATAGAGACAAGTACACCAGATAGAGACAAGTACACTAGATAGAGACAAGTATACTAGATAGAGACAAGTACACTAGATAGAGACAAGTACACCAGATAGAGACAAGTATACTAGTTAGAGACAAGTACACTAGATAGAGACAAGTACACCAGATAGAGACAAGTCTACTAGATAGAGATAAGTCTACTAGATAGAGACAAGTACACTAGATAGAGACAAGTACACTAGGTAGAGACAAGTATACTAGATAGAGACAAGTATACTAGATAGAGGCAAGTATACTAGATAGAGACAAGTATACTAGATAGAGACAAGTATACTAGATAGAGACAAGGGAGAAAAGTCTACTAGATAGAGACAAGTATACTAGATAGAGACAAGTATACTAGATAGAGACAAGTGTACTAGATAAAGGGAACCTTGAATCAGAGCAACACAAGCTTTGTGAGGACCGGTCGTGTATGGGTGAAGCCACACCCACCACAATCTACTGCATGGAGGAGTCAGGCTGCCTCAGACTCCCCTCCCCCAAGGTTCGTCAAAGCTAACCTGCCAGGCGATGTGGGGAAAGCACATGATCCTAACCCATGCCCGGACAGAATTGAAAATCCTAGCACACAGACACAGATCCTAAAAAAAACCCCCAAAAATTCCAAACCTGAAATTCCAACTCAGTTTTTTTCGCTTTGATGTGACAACAGCGTTGAAGAGATAGCCTTAAACTGTATCCATCATCTGATAGAAGGGATAGCCTTAAACTGTATCCATCATCGGATAGAAGAGATAGCCTTAAACTGTATCCATCATCGGATAGAAGAGATAGCCTTAAACTGTATCCATCATCTGATAGAAGAGATAGCCTTAAACTGTATCCATCATCTGATAGAAGGGATAGCCTTAAACTGTATCCATCATCTGATAGAAGAGATAGCCTTAAACTGTATCCATCATCTGATAGAAGAGATAGCCTTAAACTGTATCCATCATCTGATAGAAGAGATAGCCTTAAACTGCATCCATCATCTGCTAGGACTCCAGCAGTACTCTGCCAAAAGCTGACAACATGCCCCTTGTTTCATTTTAACGCCAACATTTTTTGCTACAATTTGCTAAGTCAAAAGTCAGATCAGTTACTTTACTAGTGTGAAAAAATCAAAGTGAAACTGTGACTAGGGATCAACGGCAAATCAGTCATAAGAGGTACCGGGGGAAGGGGGGGGGGGTCCTGGTTCCCGTTTATGAGACAAGTACCGGGGGAAGGGGGGTGTCCTGGTTCCCTTTTCTGAAATAAGTACGTAAGAGAAAACTTGCAGGAATAAGTTCACGTTTGGGCCTCTATAGAGAGAGAAAAGTGAAAGATAGCATTACTCGAGTCGGAGTGGGATAGACTGGGGCAGCACAGGTTGCAGTAAAGCTGAAACTTGAAACTCTCGTAGTCTTGAAAATAGCTGACACATAACTCTAATCCTCCATGCAAAAAGCCCACGTTTTCATATAGTAATAAAGCTACAACGTTTGACTTCTATCGCATACACACTCAAAGCACCCCCCCCCCCCCCGGAAAAAAAGATCGCGCCAAAGTTGTTCATTTCTTTCTTTTTAAAAATTCCTTTATCCTCAATTAGTACCTGTATCACGGCACGCATTTAAAGCCCAAGTGTCAAAACAATACCCCCACCCCCACCCCCTCCCCCCGGTCGTCCACACTGGTTAAGTCCCGAAAAACACCTCGACCAATGCGACCGGTGCGAATGAACTTTGCTGACCCCGACAGCCGACGGTCTCGGACACACGCGCTACTCACACGTACGAGTCATGTCATGAGATGCGAATGAACGTTTGAAAGATCCACTGACAGGTCTTGATGATGGGCCCGACTAACCAGAACTCAGACGAAGCTTGCTTTTAAAGCAACGGCAGAACAACGGTCGAGTTTAGTTGAAATAACGTGCGCGAGTCCTCTACTAGATTCGGCATAGATGCCTTAGAAAGTAGCGTTCCAAGTTCCTGCCGAGAAAAAATCCAACCAGTGCTTTCAACCAAAAGAGATTGCAGAACTTTTAATATTTTTTTCTAAGAATCGGTCGCAACAGACACAACACCAAAAAATCAGGATACTGGCGATCGAAATCGGGAAAATCGGGATGCTTGAGATTTGGGGCCAAAAATCGGGATATCCCGATTAAATCGGGATGAGTGGCAGGTCTGAGTGCTGTCAATTAACTTGACAATGATCCAAAGACTTTTCACTTGGGTCTGGAAGTCATGCCTTTTCCTCTTGTCCCATCGTCTCTTCCGTCCACATTATCTGACCTAACATTTATCCCTTCGTCTCTTCCGTCCACATTATCTGACCCAACATTTATCCCATCGTCTCTTCCGTCCACATTTATCCCATCGTCTCTTCCGTCCACATTATCTGACCCAACATTTATCCCATCGTCTCTTCCGTCCACTTTTATCCCATCGTCTCTTCCGTCCACATTTATCCCATCGTCTCTTCCGTCCACTTTTATCCCATCGTCTCTTCCGTCCACTTTTATCCCATCGTCTCTTCCGTCCACATTTCACATTATCTGACCTAACATTTATCCCATCGTCTCTTCCGTCCACATTTATCCCATCGTCTCTTCCGTCCACATTTATCCCATCGTCTCTTCCGTCCACATTTCACATTATCTGACCCAACATTTAAAGACTTAGGGAGCATCAAGTACATTTGAAATACATATATATATATTAATACACACACATATATATATATATATATATATATATATATGACATTCCGAGATAAAGACTCTTTCTCAAAGACACACATTGGATGTCCTTGTGGGTCACCACACGATGAAATGAAGCGCTTGTCAATTTTGGGGCATATGACATTTGGTATAATCTTAAAGCTTGATCATTTTTCTTGCTTTTCATGAGAAAAAAATAGCCCCTCTATCTTGAATGGAATTTGAGATGTTTGCAGAGATGTGTGACTGAAGGGAGACAACCGCCACCAGCGTCGGTCACTTCCAAAGCTTGAGAGTCCTTGGAAACGGCAAATGTACAATTCTTGTGACTTTGATGAACGTTTTTCCGTAAAACCCACACACGAATGTCTAGTTACATTTAGATGGACAGAAAAGCTGATGAGCCAAAAAAGAAAAGTTTCTTTGATTTCCTTACTTTGATAAGAGCCTCATTTCAGCAAGACACACATATATATGATGTGTCACCACACGGTGGAATCAGAAGCCACACACACACATATATATGATGTGTCACCACACGGTGGAATCAGCCACACACACACATATATATGATGTGTCACCACACGGTGGAATCAGAAGCCACACACACACATATATATGATGTGTCACCACACGGTGGAATCAGAAGCCACACACACACATATATATGATGTGTCACCACATGGTGGAATCAGAAGCCACACACACACATATATATGATGTGTCACCACACGATGGAATCAGCCACACACACATATATATATGATGTGTCACCACACGGTGGAATCAGAAGCCACACACACACACATATATATGATGTGTCACCACACGGTGGAAACCACACACACACACATATATATGATGTGTCACCACACGGTGGAAGCCACACACACACACACACATATATATGATGTGTCACCACACGGTGGAATCAGAAGCCACACACACACATATATATGATGTGTCACCACACGGTGGAATCAGAAGCCACACACACACATATATATGATGTGTCACCACACGGTGGAATCAGAAGCCACACACACACATATATATGATGTGTCACCACATGGTGGAATCAGAAGCCACACACACACACATATATATGATGTGTCACCATACGGTGGAATCAGAAGCCACACACACACACATATATATGATGTGTCACCACACGGTGGAATCAGAAGCCACACACACATATATATATGATGTGTCACCACGCGGTGGAATCAGAAGCCACACACATATATATATATATATGATGTGTCACCACGCGGTGGAATCAGAAGCCACACACATATATATATGATGTGTCACCACGTGGTGGAATCAGAAGCCACACACATATATATATGATGTGTCACCACGTGGTGGAATCAGAAGCCACACACACATATATATATGATGTGTCACCACGCGGTGGAATCAGAAGCCACACACATATATATATATATATGATGTGTCACCACGCGGTGGAATCAGAAGCCACACACATATATATATGATGTGTCACCACGTGGTGGAATCAGAAGCCACACACATATATATATGATGTGTCACCACGCGGTGGAATCAGAAGCCACACACATATATATATGATGTGTCACCACGTGGTGGAATCAGGCGCTCGGCAATTTTTGGGGCATGTGGAGTTATTGGTATCGTCTGAAAGCTGATTTATTTGCCTAGCTTCCAATGAAAGAAACATTTGCAACTGAAGGTAGGAAGGTCACCCGGCTTCAGGGGTGAAATTAGCGAGAAAATGGCCGCCAAAGTTTGGTAGCTCCAATAGCTAAAGAGTCTTTGGAAACTGAAAAATGACATACTTTGTGCCTTTTATTAATGTTTTTCAGTAAGATTCAAATTATGGAAAAGTGTTTATATGGACATAAAAGAGATTAAGCTAAAAACTAAAAAATGGATCAAAATGTGAGAACTGGTGGAAAAATGCCTGTTTCTCCCATTTCCCTGTTTCATGAGAGTCTGATTTCACCACACAGATGACTGACAAAGCAATTCTTGCAAGCTGACACAAACAACTCTATCTCAACTGTTCCAACTTCTCTTCACACGTTCCAATTCACTAGCTTGCAGACATTTCCAATAAATCGGAAGGATACACCAACCATAATGCCTTCGAAATGTCTCAACGGAAAAAAGTGAAGAAATACAAATAGAAGCCATAAGTGGAAGCACATGGTCCCTTGCCTTGTCCCTTCGATATAGCAAAAATAGTAACAATAACACCACCAAAGTAGAAAGGCCCTCATATTTGGTACAAATTGTACACACAAAAACCAAAAGACGAAACTCTCCCATCACCAGAAGACTGAGACAGTGAAATGTCAAACATGTATGTTCTCACAGTCACAGTCACAACTTTCAAACATGTATGTTCTCACAGTCACAGTCACAACTTTCAAACATGTATGTTCTCACAGTCACAGTCACAACTTTCAAACATGTATGTTCTCACAGTCACAGTCACAACTTTCAAACATGTATGTTCTCACAGTCACAGTCACAACTTTCAGACACCTATGTTCTCACAGTCACAACTTTCAGACACGTATGTTCTCACAGTCACAACTTTCAGACATGTATGTTCTCACAGTCACAGTCACAACTTTCAGACATGTATGTTCTCACAGTCACAGTCACAACTTTCAGACATGTATGTTCTTACAATCACAGTCACAACTTTCAGACATGTATGTTCTCACAGTCACAGTCACAACTTTCAAACATGTATGTTCTCACAGTCACAGTCACAACTTTCAGACATGTATGTTCTCACAGTCACAGTCACAACTTTCAGACATGTATGTTCTCACAGTCACAACTTTCAGACATGTATGTTCTCACAGTCACAGTCACAACTTTCAGACATGTATGTTCTCACAGTCACAACTTTCAGACATGTATGTTCTCACAGTCACAGTCACAACTTTCAAACATGTATGTTCTCACAGTCACAGTCACAACTTTCAGACACGTATGTTCTCACAGTCACAACTTTCAGACACGTATGTTCTCACAGTCACAACTTTCAAACATGTATGTTCTCACAGTCACAGTCACAACTTTCAGACATGTATGTTCTCACAGTCACAACTTTCAGACATGTATGTTCTCACAGTCACAGTCACAACTTTCAGACATGTATGTTCTCACAGTCACAGTCATAACTTTCAGACATGTAAGTTCTCACAGTCACAGTCACAACTTTCAGATATATCTGACACCTTTCCAAGTGAATGGCATTATGAAACATTGAAATAATTCAACATAAATTGACATTCACAGAAGAAAACTGCCACTCTCCATTCCAGACAACTGGATGTCCCAATAGATTTTACCGTGGAAAGGCTGAATTGTCCAAAGTGACCAATATTTCATTTACACAGGTTGAAAGAATGCATTAAAATTATCCGAGGGGAGAGGAGGGGAGGGGAGGAGTTAAAATGCGTACATTTTCTCCCCTAGACTTTGTACCACAATAAGTTTGCTTTTAGATGGGATCGACAGTAATCACCACCCCTTACAACATTACCGACCCACGAACTATTCATTCAAGGCATAACATGAAAGCCATTTGTAACAAACTGGAGGAACATGAAAACGTCGACATAAAAGGATACACAATCCCCCACCCATGATCAGCTTTGGAAAGACAAATTAAAATTCCTAAAACAGTAGCGACGTCTGTGCAAGCCAAGGGGATAACAGCACACCAGCGAGACGGTCAAGTGTGGACATCCAAGCCATCCGTAACTTCACAGGTACTGGTACAAAAATAGCTCAAACATTTCCTCATTGCGTCACGACACGGTGGAATCAGGCGCTCGTCAATTTTTGGGCATATGTGGTTATTGGTATCACCTTGAAGCTTGTTCATTTGCCTTGCTTTTGGTGAAAAAAATACCCATCTGTGTTGAATAGAAGTTGAAATATTTGCAATTGAAGGTCAGGGTTGCCTGCAATCAGAGGTAAAATTAGCGAGAAAATGGCCACAAAGTATGGTAATTTCCATAGCTTGAAAGTCCTTGGAAACTGAAAAATGACATTTTGTCTTTAATCAATGTTTTTCAGTAAAATCCATCAAGAAATATGTTTTTGAATGGATATAAAAGGTGTTGAGCAAAAAAAAAAAAAATTAATTAAAAAAATAGCCCAACCATCGGAAAAATGCCAATTTCTTTGATTTCATTATTTTGTTGAGCGCCTGATTTCACCACGATGCCTCAAATTTTTTCTCAGATCCCTGGCACTGGGAAGATTCTACGGAAACAATCACGTGTATATATATATATAGAGAGAGAGAAATGCCCACATATTATGCATTATCACAGAAAACATGAACAAAGCCACAGAGAAGCCAAAAACATGATGCCACGTCAAACAGCTTGCTACCATAGAAAATACACAGTTCTGACATTTTTGGTCGTTTTCACTTCCTAAGACCATGAGATCAGAAACCAAATGTTCTACGTGCTCTATGAAATTGTCAGATTATTTGGAGTTGTTATCAAGATATTCAAAGAATTGATTTCGAGAAATCTTAAGCGTCTTGTGAAACAGAAAATGTTTTACATCAAATTTCTGGAAACTCGGCACTGAGCAGACAGAGCTTTGTAGTTCTGGGGTCGCGAGCTGCCTTCTCGAACAGACGATGGCCGTTCTATGACCGTGGTGAGACGAATCGTGCACGGGTTCACTCAACTTCCCTTGCTCTTGACAGTTGTTCCATTCACTCGTTTCTCTTTCTCTTCCTCAAAATCAGGACGTTTGTCGTCGCCAGGACCTGGGGGCTCCACAGCCCGAGGGAGCAGCGAGCTCAGACGAAATACTGGAGTCAAGCAAGTGGCAGTGACACACGGTCTAGATGGGTGGTCACGGCATGGAGTGTACCCTGGAGCAAGACACCATAACCCTCACTCCAACAAGTCAGGTCGCTGCACAGTGGCCATCAGATATCCCATGTTTGTCAAATGGTTCTGCATTGGTAGAATACTGTGTGTTTCCTATTCTTTGTGAGCCCATGTAAAAATTGTGTGTATTTAAAAATGTATTTACGAATGGTATAGTAACCATTGTGATAAAAATGTACCCCACAGGGATCAATAAAGTGTAATTCATTTATTTATTTCCTTATTTTTTTAAGGATTAAGTTAAGAGAAGGAGTATGAGCATAAATCCTTGCTTACTGTAACACACTGACTGACTATATACAGAATCTGACAGACTGACTATAAACAGAATCTGACAGACTGACTATACTATATATACACCATCTGACAGACTGACTACATACAGAATAGCCCAGAGAAGAAGACAAATCAGAAGGGCCTCTATGTTTAAAAAAGACGTAGTTTATTATGAACACTTGATCTAGTCTCCAAGAATTATTTCTATTGCAATGACTTCCTCGGGCTGTTGTTTTACCCTTCTGACAGCTGGCGAAACGGGCCGCTCTTCCCTTATACTTGAGTGAGAGACGGAGAGAGAGAGAGATGGAGAGGGAGAGGGATGGAGAGGGAGAGAAGGAGAGAGAGGGGTGGAGAAGGAAAGATGGAGAGAGAGAGGTGGAGGGGGAGAGGGGAGGAGAGGGAGAAGTAGAGGGAGAGGAGAAAGATTTAACAAGCTGTGTGGTCCTGCCCTACGGTTCTGCAAGCAGAATCTTCCTGGGACTATGTTTTAGTAAGAGTTTTACGGCACTTGCAACACAATGAAATCATAATAATAATATATATAAGTGCCGAAGAATAGAGGTGTTACAAGAGAGTAACATACACAAAAAAGAGGGAGGAGAGAAAAGGACGATAGATTTTTTATAGGAAAGAAGGAGGAGAGATAAGGACGATAGATGTTTGATAGGAAAGAAGGAGGAGAGATAAGGACGATAGATGTTTGATAGGAAAGAAGGAGCAAACCACACTAGAGCACCCACCAACCACAAACATCAGATAGACTTTAAGAAAGGGGAGCAGCGACGGCACATCTGATGGTCATGTCCCATCTACCATGATCCTAACCTGCTAGTGGCACATCCGATGGTTATGTCCCATCTACCATGATCCTAACCCGCTAAACAAACAGGCAAAAATTAGTCTCTCCGTAACTCTTGGAGAAAACACCTGGCACACAGCCAGCTGCTCAACACGGACATCCAGCCACTGTCTTCCTTTCTCTTCTCCCAAGTACAGAATTGTCCGTTCTTAGCAATAAAAATGTTCACAACTGGGTTTGTAGCAAGAATCTGAACACATATATGTAATGTCTATGTGTGTTTGTGTGTGTGTAGGGGGGGGGGGATATGACACAGGCAAATGAACACACTGACAAATCGCTTCAACAAGTAGAGAGAGGTGGTCGATCGTTTCACGATTTCTCTTTCTTCTCTTTCCCTGGGGACACGGACATTCGGGTGACGAGCCTGCGATTACGAAGGGCAGCGACTGCGTCGGTCGTGTCGTAAATCCGCTCAAAGAAATCCACGAGCGGCGGCTCTGTGAGCATAGAGGCAAGAAGCTGCTCAAATGATATCGACCAGTCTTCGTCCGGCTTGCTCGTGTTTTTCGATGGCGAGGCTTGGTTCTGAGGGACACTTGAACTCTGGGATTGAGTCGGGGTCGACTCTTCCGAGCGGGGAGGAACGTTCCCGCAGGCCAACGAGGCCGCATCGCCATCTTGTGCATCTTTGGAAACTTCCGCCGTGTTTCCCCCACTCTCCGCCACTGACCAGTCTCCTTGAACATTTCCACCGTCGTCAACTTTCGTCGACTCAGACGGAACAACATCACCAGACGGAACAACATCACCATGCGCGCCTTTCACCACTCCCCCTATGGTCGCCTCGGCATTTCTTTGACTCTCCGCGTCCTTGACCTTGCCCTCGGAAAACTCCACCAGGCTGGAGTCGGGGCCAGATCCAGAGGACAGAGTATTGGACTCACTCACGGGGGTAAGACCCTCGGCCACGCCTGACTGCCAGCTGGAGAGACGGAAGCGTTTGCCGACCTCCCCGATCTGTAGCAGCAGGGTGCCCACTGTGGCGATGCTGTGGTACAAATGTTGCTCCTCCACAGAGTCCGTGAACATGTCGTAGAGGCTACGCCACAGCTGGATAAACTGGACCTGGGGGTGAGGGGGTATGTGTGAGT